GAGAGAGAGAGAGGAAAAATTTAAAATTAGGATGTAAAAAAGGTAAGGGTTCGTTACTCTGATTCCATCGTCGGCAAATAGCCGGATGTCGTTCTCTGCGAGAGAAACGCTGCAGCTTGGAGGCAAAAAAAAAAACGGGCTTAATCAGGCCGTACTAACGCAATTATTTCACAGCAGCGTTTAAAAGAGGTCAACGTTAACGTTCGATGCGAAGAATTCCTGGAAGATTAATTAATAAATTTCTTTGCAGAGAGGTTCGTCGAGGAGATTTTTTTTTTTTTTTTTTATACAGAATTCGATCCAACGAAGCCTGGAAAATAAAATAAGAAAAAAAAAAATGGAACGAAATCGAGCATCCGCGTCGTTTTGTCGTGCATAGAAATTTTTCGATGGATAGACGAGAATTTTATGGCCCGACTCTCGATACTACTCTCGACTCGAGAGCCGAAGAAGAAGCGGAATTTTCGAAATTACTGCGTCAAATCCTATTAGTTCGAAGAGCAACTAAATATTCCGTAGAAGACGCTCGAGACGCAAACAGAAATGCCACGAAAGCCGGCTAACGAATTTAGACGAAAATTAGCATTAACACCGACTCACAATTCGATTTCGCCGACTTGTTGCCAAAGCAGTTGCAACCTGGTTGGAAATTATCCCGGTGACGCAATACTTGCCAAGTCAGCACGTGGCTCTACCAACATCGGAGAAATTTCATTTGCAAGCTTTAATTCGTCTGAACGTGCATGGTTATTCCAGTTGCCATAATTTCCACGTAGCGCGTAATCGTCCGCTCGAGGTGTAGCTATAAAAACATCTTCCCCCTCCGCCCTTTTCTCTTCCTCCCTCCCTTCCTTCCTTCCTTTCTTTTTTAAACGTTTAAATTATCGTCTGCCCGTACAAGTAATTATCCGATTCCGTGGAAAACTACGCGAGGCGAAGTAACGGCACTTCGAAATCCTGTATATTTAACTCTGGCTGGAAGTGAAGCGCCCGTACCTGGGTAATTCTTGTTCTCTTCGAAACTCTCCGCCAAGGCGAGTTTAAAATCTGGAATCGCGACTCCGTTAAACAGTCGGTTCGTTCTACTTTTCGTGGAACGAGCGCGTTCACGGTTCCTTAAAAGGGACGTTGCCGTTTTCACTCGTTACCATTACACGACGTAAAAGACTTCCCCTCGTCGATTCGTCGCCTAATAATTGCCCCGTGAAGCGATACAAATGAAAGTTAAATGGAACAAGGAAAAAGATAAACGATTACTCCGAATTCTCGCCACTGGGATGGAAAGTTTGCTCGAAAAAGTGTAATAATTCGAATCGATCCGTTTCGATTAACGTTTCGAAGCTTTTGCGGAGCGTGGTAATTACGGAGCGAG